TTGGCGGCATCCCTGACTCCCCGAACTTTGAAACCAAGCAGCCTTCACTTGCACCGGCCTTGGGTATCAATGGTTATTACCTGCTCCTGAGAATATCGTGTAACCCATCTCTTCGCCCCACCAGATCCATTCAGTTATTTGCAATTGCCAGGCAAAAAAGTCTTCATCAATTCCCCGGGGCCTACTTCTAGCCTCTGGTAGTTCTTGTTTACGGCCGGGATTCGCTCTGTTGCTCCCAACGAGTCATAGCTCCAAACCTTGCTCCCCACCCACCGTCCATCCTTCTGCTCCAGCTCTTCTTATTAAAAACACCAAGCCCTACAACTCTCTCTTTGCACAATTCTCCCCTGGATCTCACCTATTGCTAGTCCAATCCAACTAGTGCCCACAGTGAGCCGTCATACAGGCCAACTTATACACCCGTGTATATATCCTACCCAGTAATTGGATCAAGCATACCTCAGACCAATACCTCGTTGCCCATCATGGCTATAGACGAGGCAGATCGTGAGATCATAGAAGCCGAGCGCAATGCTTCCCCCCAGCGGTTCCCCCGACGCAGCGATGAGATCGAGCGTGTATTAACGACATCGTCTGTCTCGACTTCCGCCTCCTCACACGCCAATGCCGCCATGCGTCGCAACAACATGAGCCGAGTCTCGACACAGAATGACCTCGAGCGCCATCCAACAGCTCTGAGCCGTATCCAGACCGGCCGCAGCCAGCACCATTCTACCGTCGGCGCCGGTCTGCACAGCCGAACCAGCACGCGCGCCTCCAGGAAGCCCCTGCCCAACTTCGGCGCAGGGAAGCCATTTCCTCCCCCGTTGCCAGAGCAGGAGGAGTACGTTGTCGAGTTCGACGGGCCTGATGATCCCCTTCATGCGCAGAACTGGCCCCTGAGGAAGAAGGTCTTGACGGCGGCCATGCTGGGATACACCACCATGACCTCGGCGTTTACTTCCTCCATCTTCTCCAGCGCAACCGCAGCTGTCGCGGTCCAGTACGGCGTCAGTTCCGAGGTTGGTCTGCTCGGAACCTCATTCTACGTGCTGGGTTTCGCGACCGGTCCAACTCTCTGGGCGCCGCTCTCCGAGTTGAAGGGACGACGACTGCCCCTCGTTCTCGCCATGTTCGGTTTTACCATCTTCTCGATCGCATGTGGTACCGCCAAGGATATTCAGACGATTCTGATCTGCCGATTCTTCAGTGGTTTCTTTGGCGCCTGCCCTCTTGCTGTTGTCGCTGCCGTGTTCTCCGATATGTTTAACAATCAAACGCGAGGAATAGCGATCACCTTGTTCTCCATGGCCGTTTTCACAGGTCCTCTGCTTGCCCCCTTTATTGGAGGGTTTATTGTCGAATCTCACCTTGGCTGGCGATGGACCGAATACCTGCCCTCCATTATGGGTGCTGTCGCATTCCTTCTCGACTTCTTCTTCCTCGAGGAGACGTATCCTCCTGTCATCCTTGTCTCCAAGGCTGCCGACCTCCGTCGTCGCACCAAGAACTGGGGCATCCACGCCAAGCAGGAGGAAATCGAAATCGACTTCAAGGAGCTGGTCCAGAAGAACTTTTCGCGTCCTCTCCGCCTTCTCTTCACCGAGCCTATCATCCTCCTCCTGTCCATCTACATGAGCTTCATCTACGGCCTTCTCTATCTCTTCCTTACCGCCTACCCTCTTGTCTTCATGGGTGTGCATGGCTTCAGCTCGGGACAGTCCGGTCTGACCTTTTTCGGCATGATTCTAGGCCAGCTGATTGCAGGCGCATTCGTCCTTGCCCAGCAGCCCTGGTACACGCGCAAGTTGAATGCGAACAACGGTATTCCCGTGCCTGAGTGGCGTCTTCCCAGTGTCATGGCAGGTGGAGTGTCCTTTGCCATTGGCATTTTCTGGTTCGGATGGTAAGTGTTTTCCAGGTCTTCTCAATTCAACTTGATACTAACAATTCGCAGGACTGGTTACAAGAAAGATATCCACTGGATTGCTCCCGCTCTCAGTGGTCTCTGCACAGGCTTCGGTCTCATGTCCATCTTCCTCCAGGCACTCAACTACCTTGTCGACGCATACCTTATGTTTGCAGCCTCTGCCATCGCCGGAAACACCTTTTTGCGATCTCTGTGCGGAGCTGTCTTCCCCCTGTTTGCCCGCCAGATGTTCGATGGCATGGGTATCCAGTTTGCCGCCACGCTCCTGGGTTGTGTAGCAGTTGTGCTCGCCCCTATTCCTTTCATCTTCTACAAGTACGGTGCCGCCATCCGAAGGAAGAGCAAGATCGCGCCCACCGACTTTTTTGTCCCTCCCGCCCCCGCCGCTGAAGAGGAGGAAGACAGCACACCGGAGAAGGAGGGTGCTGCTGCTGCAGCGGCAGCTTGCGCTCCCAGAAAGGAGAACGGGTCGACGACCAAAGAGACGGCATAGATGTTCTCACTTCATCCAAACTCACCTACTTCATCCACGTATTGTGGATACAAAACTGAACAACAGACACAACAAAACTAAAAGCAACACGATGAATATCCGGGAACCAGGTGTTTTGAATGTCTTCTTGCATAATTTGGGTGTTCGTATTGGTCATGTGCGGCAGCGATATATCGGATTTTAATGCCCGGGGGGGGGTTAGCGATGCCTGTGTGTTCATTGTTCATTGATACCTTGAGAATTTTCTTGTTCTCTTTTTTCCTATATTACGACCAAAAGACTGTTCAGCAGGAACCAGATACCTACATACACACATACATACCTTGATAGTAATCTAATATGTCACACATTCAAGCTAGCTTGCAACTCTATCACCAGGTAACGTGAAATAATTATCTGATTGACGATCATCAGTCCTTGGCTACTGAGAACATGGACTGTAAGCACTAAACACCCAAACCCCCAGGTTCCGTATACGGCCCGTCTGACAACCCACAAGGCGAATCTTGCGCAGGGCTGTAGAGTCTGAGCACACGCAGGGCCAGCCGAGGCAGGGTTCAATCGCACTGCTTACCACTATCAATCCCTGCCGGGGTGGGCGACGCACCCATCGTACCGTGAATTGTTCAGCCGTATGATAGCGCGCAGATACCTGATTCAACTCGTGACAACCAGTGTGCTTGGGTTGGTCTAACCACACGAAAAGAAAGTCCTCTTCTTAAGCTGCATCACCCATGACAGTCAAGCGATAAATGGCCTTTGGGCTTGGCCACGAAGCGTTCTGGTGGAAAATTTGGTATAGGCACCATGCCAAATCATTTCAGGGTGTGATTCGGCTCGCCTTCTTGAAAAGAGCCACAAGGGTCACACAATATGCTTTGCTAGGTCCAGGTCTAACAATAATGACATTCTGATTCCCTTACTTATCCATGCCCTTCTCTCTTGTGACCTGCCAAGGTGCTAGCCAGCTTGGACCAACCTCAGATCTCAGTTATGATGAGCTCTTGGTTAATTAGCCCCGGGAGGAGATTGGTCTGCTCTCCTGCCTGATATATCTATGATAGACAAGACTTGGCTCTAAGCTCTATATTCTCAATCCCATACTGCCTTAGTTCAATGAGTCGCTAAACCCGGAATTTCCAACGCTCTAGACTGTACCCAGTCAGGGGGGAGGCAGCAATGCCAGCTTGAAGGGCTAATTCACCAAGATCAGACAAGTATGGGTAGTCGGCAGCATTAGTATTGTATATTGATCGTTTTAAGGTGAGAGTTGATGGTGCCACATAGGGTGTCTTGTCGGCCCTGTTGGATGATATCGTCATTCTGGGCCCTGCGAAAGACGGACCATGCTTTAGGAGAATCCATCATTGGATTTAGAGTGAGAAGTATATTTGAAAATAACTTAGTTGAGGTAAGATTAGCAACTGATACCTGAAGTACTTGGTTGGATATCCACAAACTGTTTGTTTACAGCTGGGGGTGATCATCTTAAATTGCGCCGAAAGACCTACACAAGTGCACTTCGCCCCTTGACTCGCATACCGTATTTTCTCAAGACATTCATCTTTTTTGCCCCCAGTGTTATTTCGAACCCGTTTTCTTTAGCATAATCCCAATCATCTCCTGTCCCCACCAGGCGCTGGCTAAGAGAAGGCTCCTACGGTACTGTAGAATTGATTTCTGCTATGATAGTCCCGCGTCTCAGACAAAGATAGAAATTGGGTACCAAAACACTGGGGGCATAAAAGACGAAATTTCTTGAGAAGAGACTAACGGCGTCCGATGGCCGTGCATAGTTATTTTCACCAAGCCTCATGTTGGCAGTACAGTCCCAACTACACCCTGGTCTGGCCAAAACCGCAACTACCAGACAGCAGCGGACAGCCAGGTCAGCTTTATGGTAATCATTCGTCACATCGGAAGACAAACTGGTCAGGGCTGTGGTACTCGCTTCTCTTAACGATTGATAGCCAGGCCAGCTATACAGTAATTACTCATTGCGATAGCAGACAGATACACTCGAGGGTGTAGTTCAGACTGTACTGTCATTTTGGCGCTTGAGATATGGGTCTACAGTCTGCCTGGGCTATAACGATGTATAATATATACAGACTTATATTGTTATTTCGCCACCATGGGAAATCATTACTGTTCCTAAAGAGGCTAGAGATACACGACCCTGCTTTGAAGACAGCTAAGGTAGAGCTTTAGATATGTAATCGTACTAGAGCAACTCTCCTTCTATACATAGTACAAAGAGGAAGGGTACAGGCCTAGCAGAAGCTCAAATTAATATAGCTACTAATAACTAGGTATATCGGGCCTTTATCCTTCGGCTTTCCACTTGTTGCCAGGATAGCTAATCCACTATTAGTTGAAACATGCGTGTAGAAATCCAAGTTGAGATGGAATTACCAACAAGGCATAGGAAGAAAATGTATAAAGCTCTCATTCATGCCATCCTGTTCATAGCACTTTGAACTTATCTCACCTTACAATAATAATAATAACAACAATAACCCTAACAACGACGACGACGACGCAAATTTCAGAGAACATCCTTCTCTTTTCCTAAAAATGAAGCTCACCATCGCTATTGCCACAGGCCTCACGCTTGTTGGCAGGGCCGCAGCCCTTAATTCAGACACCGATCCCAATATTGGTACTATCAGACCCGGTGTAAGTCATATTAGTGGCATCAAAGGCTGACTGTGTCTTCTACTCGGTGGCACTTGTCTAGCCCATAGTGCGTGATGCATTAGAGAGGTCGCTGACCAGTCGTGTTGTATAGACCTGCGACAAGGCAAGGAAAGTATGTACCCTCCAGAACATCTGGAAAAAGCGTGGATTTGCGAAGGACAAGAATGGTGTCAGGGTCCAAGTTTGGTACCTCGGTACTGTGGAAAAGAAATGCGATTCAAGCGCCCCAGTAAGCAATCAATCCACACAGAACAAAGCCTTGGGACTATCCACCTCTAATTTGATACGATATAACCTAGTGCCTTGTGGATAAAAACTTTTGTAATCATAGCTTCAGCGCGACTCCGGCTCATACTACCACTATGTGCCCAGAACCCGATCTCAACGCTGGGAAGTCCACTGGGGGGTCGTCCAAGTCTGGCGGGTCGTCCAAGTCTAATTCGTCCAAGACTAAACGTAACCTATGCACCGGCGGAAGAGTTAAGAGGCGTTGAGGAAATTGATAAGCTAGAGGCGCTTCATTGAGGCCCTCCTAGCTTATGTCAAGATGCAGCACAGTATAAGTTAAGGGCTTATAATTATTAGTTTGTTTAGGGAGAATGCAGTATTAACTAGTATTCTGAATGAGCAGATACTGAAAAGTGATTTTAAATTCCTTGGAAAAGGGTTTAACCCAACACATCAAGGCATACAATTTAATGCTATCCCCAGCATCTTGATATAGTACTTAGAGAGGTCAGCGGTTCATCCGTGGCATATTCAACAATGGCTGCGCTTATTGCCTAACAAAGGAGTAAGCAATAGCTACATGTAGCAACACTCAATATGGCATACAAGTAAAGGCTTTCTCCGACATCATGGCTTTTACAACGGCATGACTCCCTTGCCAAACACTCTAATGTCCTACTTGCCTCTCTTCTTATATATTTTGAAAGGAATAAGGAAAGTGCAAAGTGGAAGGTTAGGCTTAACAGGGCGGAGCTCAGCCTAAAAGCGGCGCTGCTCACGAACCCTTCCGACACCAGGGTGGCATTATCATGGGCTGTTCTCAGCTACAAGACAAGGCATCACACATGTCTTTCGATCCATCAAATCCCATCAAGCAGCATACTCTACCACTCTATATACAAAGCTGAAGAAAAGAACCCGCCATGGCCGAGCAAGTAAAGTCATCTGCCACCTACGACGCTGGATGCCACTGCGGCAACATCAGCTTCTCCTTCACGCTGTCGCCCCCGCTCCCGGAGTACGAGGTCATGAACTGCGGCTGCTCCATCTGCCGCAGGGCCGGATACCTGCTCGTCTGTGCGTCTTTTTTTCATTTCCAGCAAGAGGAGCCTATCATCCAACGCATTGAGTTCTAACGGTGGCTGTATGTCGTCGAACTTAGACCCAACGTATGAGAACTTGACCTGGCACAAGGGCTCCAAGGAGCGCTGCTCCGTTTATCAGGTGCGTCTTTCGATGGTTTCATAGCACTCTTGTCTATTTTAGAAACCAGCTGACGGTGGTGGTGTCTAGTTTAACACCAAGACCAAAGATCAGCTCTTCTGCCCCAAGTGCGGTGTGAGCATCGGCATCGACTTCAAGAACGCCACGCCGCAAAAGTACGGCATAAGCGTAAGTTCCTCTGCTTCTTATCCGAGTTTCCAGGGATAGCATCCGGTCTTGGTTGACACTATAAATGACCTACCGCGTTTCTTAGGCTCGGACCATCAATGGCATCGACCTACATTCATTGAAGTACAAAGTGATGGATGGGGTGAAGCTCATGGCCCCTCACATCGATCTGTCCGGTGCGGAATACACAGGATGAACTTCTACAGCCGAGGCACGGTAAATAAACATAGGCAATTTGATCCAATTGACTATAGGAATTAAGCTAAGACTACTCTCGTCAAACTCGTGATTCATGCTCATTCTCCCAGCTCGGCTTTTCATACTTAGGTAAGTAGACGTAGAAGATAGGAAGGGACTGTAAGATAATCCGGGTTCAAGAAACTTCATAATAGAAAAGAGAGAAAAGAAAGATCATTAGGTTCCAGTGATGATTTCACACCTCCGTCTCCACATCCGGCTCCCTACCATCCAACGCCCCCCAGGTCTTGACCTTCCTGACGGCGAATTTGGCTTCGTTCTTGGCAAACTGGGCGTTCCGCATCGGTCTCCATTGCATCAGGCCACGATGCTTCCGGTGCAAGTCCCGGCTCCGCTCCTTGTAGTCCTTGTACATGGCAATGGGGTTCTTCGAGCTCTTCTTGGAGGAGGTGGACGCATCAGTGCCATGGCTGGCCACAGATGCTCGGTCATTGGAGTTGTTCTCCGCCGAGTCTCGAGAGCCGTGGGTCTCAGCATCCTTCAACCCCAGGTCAGGTTCGTCGCTGTCATCATCATCGTACTCCTCCTCGTCAAACTGGTCGTCCTCCTCGGTATCGGCTGTGCTTCCTTTTCTAGCCGCCAACTCACTTGGATCTTGGCCAAAAGCTCCACTCCAGTCGGTTCCATCCTTGGCCAGCCACTTCTCCTTTTCCTTCTCATCTGCTTGCGCCAGCACGTCCCGTCCCTGGGTCAAGGACTCGTCGTGCAGTTTCTGGATGGCTGGTGGAACCTCCGTGAGGACCTCTTGTTGCCGCACACCTTCAGCGTAGCATGCCTCCCAGGTCTCGATTGTCTCTCGTGTGTCATTGCCACTGACAAATCGGATGTGATCCGTGTCTGTTCCTGGAGAGAACCGGCCACGGAACTTGATCCGCCCGATTTCCTCAATCTCGGTATCTGGGATAGTTTTGTACGTCTCAGACGTAATGTAGTTTTGCGAGTATCGCACATTGTTGCTACACTTGACCAGAGGAATATCGAAATCCTTTTCTTCCCCGTCAGTCAGCTCCAGGAGCCACAGAGCCGCCACAGCATCAGCCCCTCTCTTGGTACCACTGGGATGAAGCTCAAAGAAGATGGGCGATCGGTATCGGTGGCGGACGGGCAACCGGACCTTCTGGCCGGTTTCCTCGTTCTCGCCCTCAAGTTTGAAGGAGACGCCTCCTTCCTCAGACTGCATTGAGGATTTCTTGATGTTGGCAGAGGATCCTCCTGTGCGCAGACGGAGGCGGGCATTGCGATTGTAGCCGGTAATTGTGATCTTGTCCGACAAAAACTCAAATGTGCCAATGTCCCAGCCTAGCTGAGGCGGTGGGAGACGAAGATCTACAGATCGGAACAGCAGAGAGATACGGATTCTGCCGAACCCAATTCCGCCATCCAGGGGGTACCAACGAGTCACTTCACTGGCCGTTTGCAGAATATCTGAAATCTTCAGAGGGACGACTCCAATAAGGGGGTCATGCTGCCTGTTCCGTGAGTCTCGCACGGCAACTGTGACGATGGCCGATCGCCAATCCCGGATGAACTTCTCGGTTCCCGCATTGAAGATTGGCTGTGAGGACACCACCTTGGTACGTGTCTTGTAGACAAGATCGTCGTTGATAAGGATAGTGGCATAAGAGCTCGGGAGAGACTTGCCCTGCTCCTCTTTGACTTCTCCTGCTTCGGGTCGGGCTGGCTCGTACTCCTTTCCTTTCCTCTTTCCTTCTGAGCCCTTGACATTAGCAAGCTCTAGTCCCACAATCTGGTGGACAACGACGCTGAGAATACCAGACGGCCACAATGGGTCGGGAGGGGTGTGGGTGACAGCATCTTCCTCCTTGGTCTCAACCGCGCCTCTCTCATCTTGCAGCTCTGGCTTGTCGGCAAGCTCCTTGGGCAAGTTAACGTCCCTGCCAGATGTTCGAAGAGCCTTGCGAAACTGGGTCTTTCCGAAGAATCCAACCTCCCAATGGAGCTCTCCGGGCATGCTGCTTTCAGCAGTGAGCCCCTGGAGCTTGGAAGTCTGAGGGAACATCTTGCCAGGATGCTGGATCAACTTCTGGATGCTAAGTTCGACCTTGCCGACCACGTCGTCAGCCGAGGAGCGGTCGCTGTCCCACAACTCCATGGAGAGTTGTTCGTCTGCCTTGATAAGATCACTTGTCACCAAGAGGCCGCAGCTCTCTTCGAAAATGGGGTTCAGATCGTCTTGGATGACACGGGTACAGAATTGGGGCTTGGAAAACTTGCTCCAGGTGACGGTGATGTATGGATCGGAACCACCTCCTTTGCTGCCTCGCTGATCTTGCTTGCTGAGGCCGACTGCCTTGTGGATACGGATGAAGATGACGCCGAGAGCAAGTGTCTCCTTCTTGATGTCATCTCCCTGGAGCATCTTGCTGATATCCAAAGTCAAGCTCTTGGGCGCCACGTACATTGACGCCGCTGCTGCAATAGCCCAGTTGACGAAATTAGAGATGAGTGGCAGGTTCAGAATGTTTACACCTTTCTCAATCATAGGGGTGCAGCCTGCCTGCACCTTGGGGACTCCCATAAGTGTAATAGTAGCAGTCTTCAGAAACGGCGGGTCAGGGGTCAGTTGGAGTCGGACTCGGGCCGTGGCGACCAGTCCAATGAGCTCGACCCAGATCGGTAGAGGAACTCCGAACAAACCCTTGACACCCAGGTAGAAAACCAACTGCATACCCATGTTTCGAGCCTTGGAAGCGATATCTTGACCGGAAGGTTTGGCATGATAGGCGACTGATACTTCCAGGTTGTAAAATGAGCCAGCCTGCTCAACAGCAGCAAGCTCATCAGGATCCATGATAGCTTCGTTCTGTTTGTGAATTTCGTCCTTGATGTCCTGGACATGGGAGTCCGGGAGAGCTCTCATGTTCAGGATGCGAAGGGGGTTGTTGCCCTGGGAGATGTCGGCAACTCGGATGTTCTCAACAATACCAGGGACAGAGGCGGCCATGACATCCTCCAAGCTGTTTCAGTCAGCAACAGTTCAATAAGGCTTTGAACCCCATGGGGAGGAAGAACTCACGTATCAGCCACGCCAGCAAACATTTCAGGATTGATCAGCCCCCAGACAACGCCGAGAGCAGTATTCAACCACTCAACCGATTCGGGGATCAGATTCACAGTAGCCGTCTCTCCACGGTCTTGCTCACTTGCCCACTCGTTATCCCTACCCTGGCGGATCAAATCCTTGACCCATAGAAATACGCCAGATGAGACACAGAAGGCCAAGGGAATCAATCCCCAGAGCGATCCACCAAAGAATTTGCCAAAGAAGATGATGGCGGCAAAAATACCAACAGCCAGAATGTTCCCTCGCTGCTCAAGGTGGGCAAACATGGGCTCGTAGCTGACTGAGGGTGTCTTGTAAAACAGGATTGATGTCTTTTCACTGCGGATGGGGACGTCGGACGTCGACCCTTCCTGCACGGGATCAGGCGGCGCCGTGATGTCCTGGGCATATCGGTATTCTTCCCCAGACTGGTCTGACGATACCTTGACAGTGGTTGGTTTTCCCAAGTTCTCGTTGGGAACAGACATCTATTGCCGGATTAGCCTCGCATCTGCTACCGGGCCATGGGCTGCTACTTACTTGCGGGTTCTCGACGGCGTCCCTGAAGTCAAGCTTGACATCGCGGATTTCCACATCTTTGCCAGTCACTGGGTCGCGAACAGTGCGAGCGTGCTCCTTTTTGGGTCGGGCCTCATTGGTGTGAGGCGTCACCTCTGACGAGCTCTTCTTGTTTTTCTTCAATTGAGCATCTATTTCTTCATCCCGGTGCTTCTTCTCCGAGTCCAGCTGTGCCATAAACTGCTGGATGTTGGGGACCTTGTTAAGGGCACTGTAGTGCTGCCCGCCCGAAGGCGCGACATGCTGGTCGAACTCCATTGTAAGGTACGGGATGGTCAGGGGAATGTATCGCGGTTTACAGAGGAGGTAGGATGACGATTACATATAATACACAGCTGCCTTCATCCCCATGGGCGAGGAGCTTGAAGGTGCAGGGTCAATGGGGGAGTTGGGGAGAGCAGGAGCCGGGAGGGCCTGAGGGACAGACGCATGCGTTCTTGTACTAACTTGATGCCTAGCATGATTGAGTGCTCTTACGGGTGCCGGTTTTGGTGGAAGCGCGGCTTGATGATATCAAGCTTTGGGTTCGATGACGTAGTGGCTGTTTAGTTGGGGGACAATCACGATCTCGACTTGGTTGTGATCGCTCTGCACCTCCACACACCCACCAGGGAACACCCACGCACGCACGACCTTAATTGCTGTGTCCACACTGCTCAGCTCCGACGCTGCTCTGCTTCCTGCCTTGTCGCGTAGCTTTCCAGCACATCCCTGCACCCGCCGGACCTTCCTGGCCTTGGCCTGTGAGGCTGGGATCCGGGCGTAGGGTAGCAGCGATCGGAGCACCCTAGACCCGATCGCCATTACTCTCATGGATTATTAGCAGCATTAGCGGCGAAAATCCTGGAAATGGCGACGACTATTGATAGAATAGTGAGTGGGTGTCTGTGAAGATAAGGAATCATGGTGCGATTTCTGATTATCGATACAGGATGTCGTGGAGCAACATGTGGAATCGAGTGAGATGATGAACATCACCATACACTTACGCAGGTTCAAGGTCACAATTCCGACTACGGTAATCAAATCACCATGCTTACTAGCTGCTCACTGCGAAGGGGTCTATAGTTCAACGGCACTATATATTTATCTAATACACATAAAGTTTCATCCCACGTATACTCAATAATAGATGCAACTATAGATAGCCATCAGTAATTGCAGTGTCATGTCCCATGATGACGAATGCCATTTTTTGGAGTGCTACAGGTATCAGGTTTAGGCACAATTGGTCACCAAGACTTTGATGTATGTCAGTACAAATAAGCGATGTCCCGAAATCAGGTCTCACTACCATGCATAGAACGGATTCACATGTAGCATGCTTGCACTTGGAGAAACCAAGCTTTTGGACTCGAGATACAGACATAGAAGCGTGGGCTCAGCTCTCGCAGTTGCCTGGTGCCTAAACGTGCGCAAGCCCTGACTTTACAGCTCACAAAGTCTCTTTCTTTGTCAGGTATGTGTCCTTGGCTTGGGCTAAATCTTTGACCTTTCCTTGTAAGAATATCAACATTCCAACTGCAACCAATCGCGAAGATGCCCACTCTCCGCTCGTCGCAATGAATTACACGAAAGTCTAACAACAATACCTCCCCTCTTTCCCTCGCGGATTCGGTGCACTCTTTGTGGCACAGGAGTTCCTTTGGGCGGAAAAATGCAATTATGATGAGCTTTCAGCGAATGATGATCTTTCTATTGTATCAGGTGCCAAAGCCCTAATGCACTCAGCTGCAAACGGCTTGATTTCTAGAGCATAGTTTTATTCACACTTTCCCTTCCCTTGGACACCTAACAAGATCTTGCTTTCTCAATTCTGGTCTTGTTTCTAGTCCAATATCTTGTCTCTGACGTTGCACGCATGGCTGCAATAGGCAAAGTCACCGGTTCCATTATTTGGGCTAGGTAGGTACACAAGAAACGGCGCCGACACTTGCAAAGTTGAGCTTGGACTTTTCGTTATTCAATTGAAGCACTTGCTTGCCTATATAATTCCATCATGCATTGCGTTAGTGTATTTCAGGCCGAAAAGGGCAATGTCGTAGCTTGTAGCAGGCTTGTAGTCCAAATTGATATCACCCAACCCCAAAAACTACAAGGGATGCTAGCACACGATCATGCTTGAGCCTACGGATACATCAAAGTTGTCTTAATGGAAGTAGCTTATCTCGGGGAGAAATATAGGGGGGTCGGTGAATGTTTGCTCATGCCAAGTGGCCATTCTACCTTCCATTCGTTTCCAAATGGGGAAGTTTCTCAGGAATCATTCTCTTCTCTCCGAAACTCACTCTTCCACTCATATGCTTTCGGGGGGAGTAGGATACTGATGCATGTTTGGAGTCACTCTGGGCATCGTAGTGTTTTAAGCGATTAGACACGTCCGTTGCGCGTTACGGACTGCTTGATACTGAGGAAGTCAGTACGACTTTACGTTAGGTTGGATTGAATAGAATAGAGTCCTTAGGTTAAAGAGGAGTTTTTTTTGTAGTTGACACCTACATGCTTCCCGATCACATCGACCATCACAGACAGAAGGCTTCCGATTTGCATATCTCGGATGTTTGACTCTGTTGCAATGTTTGAAAATCGATGTTTGAAGCCGGATCTAAGAAGCTTGGAACATGTGATTGCGGTTTCTGTTGGTAACTTAACGTAAGTGGCCATGCTACTGATGAGCAACCCGTTGATTCTCCCAGGGCATGTGAGGTTAAACACTGATAGGCAACATTGGAATACCAGGTATCAGTCTGATATCCACTCCTGCGATTCCTAAGGTTCGGAAGGAGGACGAATCTTTGTGGATGATGATCAATCATGCCAACTGCGATAGTTCCTGGAGTGATGCTTTTCATTGTACATCATCACTACGTATCTCCTTCACACAGTACAAGCTTCCCCAGAAACCCCAAAAATGCCTACCTAGGTACCAAGGAGCCAAAGCGAACTTCTTTGAGATGCCTGTATCAAGATTTGGCTGCAAGGAAAGGGTCGATGCCCGACGTGGGCATCCTTCTTACCCTAGGCCAGCTGAAATTAAGACGGGTAGGTGTTTATAATGCCACGTATTAAGGATGTCTTGTGGAACTTGATTTTATATAGCAAAAATTTTAATGCGAACAAGTAGAATAATGACTATTTCATAATATCTTTAAGAACTAATGCTTCGAGTGTTGTTAGAGTTAAAGCCACCAGGTGTTAGCGAGAAGCTGTCAAAAATAGGCACCGCAAAGATACTTAGACAACAAATAACTGTGGAATAGCCAGACGAGAAAGCTTTCTATTTTGTAATGTATAGATAGAAGAAGATTAATCGATAATTTGAATCAATCACAATAATCTATTGTGAATTTTTTGAGTCATTGTCCCTTTATCATGGAAAGTTGAGATGCGGAAACATCTTTGCTGTCCTTATATTTCTGACACCCAATTGGCTGGGAGTAGCTAAATTCTAGCGGTCGTCCACTGTGGCAAGTCCTCCCTCAACGCAGTATTTTCACCATACATGAACATTGGACTAAAGTGAGCTCAACCTTCACCGACAGCTCACTATTTCTACGTACATTAAAGGCCTCAAGTGTTACACAAAGTTGGGACGTCAGAAGGCACATTGCTTTTTCCTTTCCGCGGTACAAATGCAGCCACCCGCACCTTCACCCAGCGCCAACACACTACCCCCTGGCGCATCTCTCCTAAAGAAGCGAGTTGCGCGCGATCCAATATATGATATGTTTTGGGAGCAACGTGGACCGCATCGCAACCAGGCCGCCGCAGTTTCATCCTCTGGAGCAACGATGCCACCGTCCCGCCCGCTTGAGGTGGTGACACGAGAGAAGCCGAAGCCGGCTGGGATAGCAGGCGCGTCGCCGAACCTGAGTCGCGACATACACAGACGCCAGACTGCTGTTGTACCACCAGTGCAGCCATTGCCGCCGCAACAACCAATCATTAAGACTGAGAAGGATATCGGGGCAAGGAAAGTGTTCAAACAGTCTCCAGTGCCGCTGCCCGTGGTCCCAGGGATGGCTCCGGCGACGTCAAAGGCTTCACCACTTCCAACTACTCAGAAAATCCAGATACTCTTGCCATCAAGACCTGAATCCTCAGACGGTGTAGCGGCCGAGAGCGCGGTAGAGCCACCTGTGGCGACACCCCGAGGCCGTGGACGGCCCAAAGGTTGGAAGCCTGGCATGTCGTATGCCTCAATGCGAGGAGACAAAGCACCTGAAGGAGTCACTGCTACAGCAAGGCGAGGAGCTACGCGCCAGTCCAGACCAGACCCCGGCTTTGGAGTTATCAAGCGTAGGGGACGACCGCCCAAACAGCCCTCCCCGCCACCCAGAGCGGTATACCACGAACTGAACGTGGCCTTCATCGCGTTCCTATGCGAGTGGAGAGGGTGCAAGGCCGAGCTTCACAACCTCGAGACGTTAAGGAAACACGTCGAGGTGGTGCACGTGAGGCCGCAGCGGCAAGTGGGAGAAAGCGTCCGGGGGCTGTGCCAGTGGGGGAGGTGCGGTGATGCTGTCAAGGTGGAGGGGGTGGATAGGGAGACCTTCGGCAGCGTCACGGAGCTGAGGATGCACATCGGGGAGAGACACCTGGTGCCGTTTGGGTGGCACGTAGGGGACGGGCCTCGTAACCGTAGTGGCGCGGCCGCGTTCGCCTGCGCGGATGCCACGGAGGAGGAGATACCCGGGTATCTCAAGGATGCACACGGGAACCAAGTTACCCCATCAATCAAGGAACAACAAGTCGAGGACTACCTCACGTGGAGGGCCAACAGACAGAGGCTGAGGGAGCTGCTCCTGAAAAGAGAGGAGAACCTCCCATCTGAGGAGTCTGACTTGTCGGATGGGGCACAGGAAGAGTGAACTGGACTTTTGGTTTTGCATACGTACACATTTCTTCAAGAATCAGCGCAGGTAGGAAGAAGCACATGGCACCGGCGTTTATCGTTCAGGCAATGAACGGCATTTGATTTTCTGATTTATTTTTAGGGGTTTGTTTTTTACATGATATCCCCGCGGGTTTGCTTGGCAAGTGGTGGACGCCTTTTATTTTAAGTTTCCAGGTTGATGATATAGCTGCTTGCGTGTTTGTGTTGTACTCCGAGCTACAATGCCATTGGTTGGCCGCCATTGATACCATATGAAGATCAGGAGAACTACTTCTCGCATGCAGGAGCAGTCTAGCTTTTGATACGATCGCTAACGAACACGAGGTAAATATATATCCCTCGGCCCGTGATGTGAATTGAAGGTACGAACCTGGCCATTAGTTTATTGTGACGCTGGCATTGCCCCGACGATTCTACAAGCGAGACAAAGGGGCTAGACTACCCGAGATATTATAGTAGGTACCTAGGTATGTAAGAATCTCAGAGACTCTTGACCTTACCCTGTGTGAGACTACATGAGACACAGCGCTCGACTTTGGCGTTAACCCTTTTTGATACTGCCAATTTCCTACCAAGATCGAAGTGAATCAACCTGACAAATCTTCATGCCGATTGAGATAATGTAAACGTCCTGATCGTTCGTTGAAATTATCCGTACAAAACACGTTATCTGGAGCTATATCGGGGATTGGATCTGATATATAGGTGGGGCTACAGGCTGGAGTTGGCAATGGGTAATTTATCAGTCTTGCCAGTGGCATGATGGGACGAGGTGGACCTCAATGGATGGATCGAGGACATTAACCATCAAGGATGATAATCGTAGGGCAGTTGCGCCGGCTATGTGTCCGTCCTGCATCTCCATGCATACGGGTCTAAGACAGGATGGGCATTGACGCGTAATTAAAGAGGTCTTCGGCGATAATCCGTGCAGTCAAGATCTGAAGCTTAGGGGATGTATAGAGAGAAGCCTGGTTGAAACCGAGAACGAAGTGAGGCCAAGCCTGACAGGGATGCTTTGATTTCAAATCCAGATGTGGGTGGACTCAGCCTCCCCATCCGAACTCGCCGGGCTGCTATAGTAATCGGGATTGTAGCAAGACGAGGGAGCGAGCTGGGAGGCATGGCGATGCTGGCACAACTTTGCACTGTTTCAGCAGCTGCGCAGGCAGACATTTACGGCACCTGCATGGACCCCAACAGGGAACAAGGGCTGTGTCAACTCAGTTTGGCAGCATCACTCTGCATATCGTACTCGCACCGGAGAGATGGGTCCCCATATGCAAGCAAGGCCTCCTCAATAACGTCATATGGGGACGGACCAAGACTGCGTCGATGCCATCGGGTTCGGATCGAGGAGCCCTGGCTATTTGAGCCAAATACTAAATGGAATAGCCAGACTTTACCGCATACCGCAGGCAGCACCCAGAGGGCACTTACAGAATCTGTGGGCAGTGGGAAGTGGGCGAACCCACTCCGGGCCAGGAATGATATACAAATGGCCGTCCGTAGAGAGCAAGTACCATGAACCAGTGGCTGCAGTTGAGCAGGCAGATATAAGACAAAGGGCAAGGACGGCAACCATACAACTTCCTGCCGCCTGAGGAATGCCGCCCCCAACGTCCCCAACGTTTCAAGAAGTAGAAGAGAACCCTGGTCAGTTCGCTGGCCTCGACCCAAGTGTGCGTTGTTGTGTTTTCATCAACCAACACATCAGTTTAATTGGCATCGCTCAGCACCCAACCGACACCGCCCAAACCACGCAACCCCTCAGGTCAGCAATTTCTACAACGGTCGTCAAGGTCAGGCGGCGCGAAGGCTTGGAAGGGCAGGTATTTTAGTCTCCGCGTGTGTGAAGAATAGGCGGCCCATCCTGTCGGTCTGACTGGGCGAGGAGTACCGCAATTGGACCCATGCGTTGGACCACCCAAGTCCGAACAGCGATCGCTTGAAACATCCGAGTCGTCGAAAAGGGCACGTTTCCCACCGCCGAAGCAGTGGGATCAGGCTATCGCACGTGCGCGGGAGAGAAGCGGTCGGGCAGGCTGGACGGATATAGGGCCGTCCACGACCAGCCTGTTGCTCCCCTTGGTTCCAGCCAGAGATTATTATACGAGGCTGGTTGAAGTGAATCAATCGCAGGTGCTCCCTTGCTTCGGTGCCGGTACGCGACCGCCAGTCAATGCTTACCTCGCCTTGGCCCAGCAGCCTCCAGTTGGTGTTAGTGCCCTCAGTCAGCACCTAGCTCGGGTCGGTATTAGGGGGCGTCGCACCACCACAGGCTCCTCCGCCCTCACCCAGCACCCACCGGAACCGCTGAGACTAGCCCCAGCGGCCCCCAGCCCCAGCCCCCAGCCCCGCCGGCTGCGCTACATCTCAGCCGTGGCAGAGAAGCCGCAGGAATCATGCCTCAGGCATCACACCGTAAGGAGGACCCGCTGGCTCTCAGCAACTCGCCCCACCTGCTTTCTCAGCAGCTCCTCCAGTCGCCGTCTCCAGCTTCCCACGACTCGTCGAACACCAGCGGCACAGTGGACACGACCGACGCTACTTCCACCACCGCTCCTAATTCTGTCTCAACGTCGCCGTCATCACCTTGTTCCAAAAGCAATCTCTCGTCCTCATACGCCATCGCATCTCCCAGCCGAAGACTCAGCGCCAACTTCCTGCGCCGAACATGGCATCGGCTGCGTGATCACTCCCCCGATACTTCAACCAACCGCACCGACGTCGTCCATCCGTCCTCCACCATGGGTTCCAAGCATTCCAACGGCAATTCTGGCGGTGGTCAGGTCAGCCATCGTCTGCGCAACTTCTTCAGGATAAACAGCAGCAACAACAGTAATAATGCCGGCGACAAGGATAAGGGGAACGAGAAGGATACCAAGGACAAAGACAGGAGCACTGATGGTGACAACAACTCCGGCTCCGGCCCCACGAGGCCATTCCGTCCCGCCAAGTTCTTCAGTAGCACAGTTGGCCGTCTGCGATCACACACCGCCACCAGTGACGGTACCCAGCAGGAGGCTCTCAGTCCTACCGCTCATGCCAATCCGTACTTTGCTCACCAGGGCATGCCTGGACTCCGCCATCACAACACGGGATCAGTCCCTCCAAGTCCCCCTGACACACCGACGCTGAAGATATCGGGCCCCGATGGTGCACCGAACGGTAAGACCGTAACCGCAGAGACAAAGGAGCAACTTGCACGGAGACTAAGAAGGGTCGCAAGTGCCCCCAACGCCCAGGGTCTGTTTGCCAGCGGCAACAACAAGAAGGCTGGGGCCGCCGCTGACCAAGACCATGACCAACGGCCAGCCACGGCGGAACTTGGCAAGGACCCTTTGATTCAGGACCCCAACAACCCAGGCGCATTGGCAATGGTCGACGCGAAATCCCAGGCTGACAAGAGCAACACGCTCGGCCTGCCTACCGAGGACGATGTGCTGTCCGCTCTGCCTCTCCCTAACCAGGGATTGGCTTTCCGTCGCACCTATAGCTCGAACTCAATTAAAGTCAGAACAGTCGAAGTTAGCCCCTCGAGCTTTGATAAGGTGAAGCTTATCGGCAAGGGCGATGTCGGAAAGGTCTACCTTGTCCGAGAGAAGAAGAGCAACCGCCTCTATGCGATGAAGGGTGAGTTTCTGGCGGAGATCCCGGCCATATTTCGCAGCGATAGGATACTAACTGTGCCATTTTAGTGCTAAGTAAGAAAGAGATGATCAAGCGAAACAAGATCAAGCGAGCCCTTGCCGAACAGGAAATTCTAGCGACGAGCAACCATCCATTCATTGTGACCTTGTACCACTCGTTCCAGTCCGAGGACTATCTGTACTTGTGTATGGAATACTGCAGTGGTGGCGAGTTCTTCCGTGCCCTGCAAACGCGACCTGGAAAGTGTATTCCCGAGGACGACGCCCGCTTCTACGCTGCTGAGGTGACGGCCGCGTTGGAGTATCTGCATCTTATGGGCTTCATTTACCGTGATTTGAAGCCAGAGAGTAAGAGACCTCTCCTCTTTTCTGTGTAGAGCGAATTGGCTGCTAACCTGGGATGTTATAGACATCCTCCTCCACCAGTCTGGACACATCATGTTGTCTGACTTTGATCTTTCTAAGCAGTCCGATCCCGGTGGCAAGCCGACCATGATCGTTGGCAAGAACGGCGCGAGAACAGATTCGCTGCCTACCATTGACACCAGATCGTGTATCGCAAACTTCCGTACCAACTCGTTTGTTGGTACCGAGGAATATATCGCTCCCGAGGTCATCAAGGGCAGTGGCCACACCAGCGCAGTAGACTGGTGGACTCTGGGCATTTTGATATACGAAATGCTTTACGGCACCACCCCCTTCAAGGGCAAGAATCGTAACGCCACTTTTGCCAATATCCTTAGGGAGGATATTCCTTTCCCAGACCACTCTGGCGCGCCCCAGATATCCAAGTGAGTAGTGCACTCGAGTTCTTTGGCCCCAAAATATCGGCCGTTCTTTTCGTTCTTGACGCTAACCCTGCTCTAGTCTCTGTAAATCCCTGATCAGGAAACTACTGATCAAGGACGAGAACAGAAGATTAGGTGCTCGTGCGGGAGCCTCCGATATCAAGGCGCACCCGTTCTTCCGCACGACGCAGTGGGCCCTCATCCGTCACATGAAGCCTCCCATCGTTCCTCAGCCACCCCGAGGCAACGAGACGCCTAATTTCCGCAACGTCAAGGAAAGTGAAAGTGTCGATATTAGCGGGTCAAAACAGACCCCTGGCGTTCCTCTCGACAGCGGGCTGGCTACTCCTGGCGGCGAAATCGCGGATCCTTTCCTCGAGTTTAACAGCGTCACCTTACATCATGACGGAGACGATGAAGCCAACTATCAACATCATAACCCCAGCGTTCATGGGTAGTATACCTATCGTCGCTTAGAGCTACTCTAATATCAGGTTAGACTGCATGGCTGCTCGTACAGGAGGCAGGGATGCGATGAGATATGCCTTTGCATTTTGATTGTTGTTGTTTTGGTCTTGTTATTCTGCTTACAAGAATTGGGGTGTGAGCGGCCAAAGAACATACCCATGGCCTTCTATTGCGTTTTCATTTCGAAAAAGAAGTCTTGTGTATCCACAAGACGGAAGCTGACTCTTCGTCACTTGCAGAGCCTGAATGTTTGTTGCGGTATTTGCTTCATTCGTACATTATTTAAAACATGGCGTCGTACACACGGTCTGGCGTTTTAGAGAGAGTGCAAAGGGAAGAGAGAGTGCGATCAATGTCTTATGTAAAGCTTACTTTATTTACTTACACACACACACCCTATTCACGGTGACTGACATTCACTCCAAAAACCACACTTGCTTTTACGGATAAAGGGTCTGATCTACAAATAGAACTAGCATATTCTCTGGTATTATTCCCCGATTCACGCTCTCATGTGCGCTGGTGAAATGAAGCAGTCGCGCCATTCACATGACACCGGCGTCCACTCTGGCAGTCATGTGCTGATGTCTAGCGTTGCACGAGCCGTGCTTGGCCTGCCATCACACCCACTCCAATAATATCTTGGTGTGGTATATATGTTCAACATTGTTCATATGATCTGCTCGGCTGGCGGATGCCTAGTTCCCGCCCCGGGGCATGATCAAGTAAGAAGGCATCATGAGCCCGCTCTTATCGCTGTCGCTATGCGGCATAGTACCCTCCTGCTGCTATAAGAGGCATGGCTAGCTAGGGGAGTTTCGGGCGGTATGTCTTGTGTGTCCAACCTAGTTTTATGTCTAATTTTTAATCATCACCATGGCTAAGCAGACCAAGGCTGGCAAGGCACCCGTACACGGCCTAGACACCACGGGGCGCAGTTTCCACCCGACCGGGTTCCGCGGCAGCCTCGCGGAGGAGGAGGAGGGAAGGGGCGCTCCGACGACGACGGAGAGTCCCGGGTACGTGCTTGAGTGGAACGGGTATACGTGCCGGCGACGGGGGCTGGAGGACGGGAGGGCGCTGCGGACGGAGATTGTGAGGACGAGCGGGGTGGGGGAGCGGTTGATCGTCGTGAGGGGACTGGGGGAGCAGAGGCAGCAGGTTTTCCAGACGCTGAATGAGCTGGCGGGGATTGGGAAGCATCTGCTGGAGAGTCATCTTGGGGCGAGGGGATATAATCATGGCGCGGGGAGGGGTGGTGGGAGGGGGAGGCATGGACGGGAGAGGAGGGGGCGGTGGTGGTCGTGGGAGTATCCCGAGATGGGGCTAGGACGAGTGGTGGCGTATAACAGCAGGATGGCGGGGACGGGAGGAGGAGCATTGGTAGCAGCTGGGGGCTCTCAGGAGGTGTCGTTTTGTAGGGTTTCGCTTTGGGTCACCACCGCGCTGTCGATTGTTCTTCTGGATGGGCCGGCGATGGAGGGTGATGGCAGACGGCAGATGGCGAATCGCACGCCTCCACGGCTGAAGCACCAGGACGCGGCCACGACGATGTCTAATCTACGGTCGCCTCCCTCTCGCGATGATGGAGGAGGTTTGGAGAACGGCCCAGGCGCAGGGACTCTGGAAAGGGAGCTGTGGAACTCCATGGGCCAGGACTCATTCCTGGAAGAGACGCTCGGGGAGCTGGCATACTCGCACTGGCTGAGATTCCTCGAGACCGTGGGACCAAACTCGAACAGGAGGGAGAGCTGGCTCCTCTGGGACGCCCTCAAGAGCCTGGAGCGGAACCTGGACGACTCGAAGAGCACCGCGCTGCGGATCGAGACACCGCCGGGATCCCCCATCTCCTCTGGCCACCCGAGCGAGAGCACCCTGCCCTCGCCCGATGACTGGAAAGACTTGATTTCCCGGACCCAGCACCGGCTGTATCTGCTCCAGCAGCCGCAGGCCTCGTCGCCGCCGCAGCAGCTTCGCTCGGAACAGCCCGACAAGGACATCAACGAACGAGCTCTAGACCGCATAGCCTACATAGGTGGACTCCTCCTCCCCGTGACGGTGGTCTCGAGCGTCCTGGCCATCGAGGGCTCCTACGGCCCCGAGGGCGACAAGTTCTGGGTGTTCTGGGTGGTGAGCGTCATAGCCTCGGTGGCGGCCATAGCGGTCATCTACGTCGAGCGGCTGAGGAGGCTGCGGGTGTGGTTCGAGATCGCGGCCGACGGCGTGATGGAGACGGGGGGCGCCTTTGCGGACGGGGATTTCCTGTGGTGGGGAGGGGACGACGAGAAGGAGGACGAAAATGTCTGCGTGGTGCGGGACGAGGACGGGGTCAAGGCGTGGAAGAGAGGCGAGCTCGGCTGGGGAGGCGCCGTCAAGAAGGCGAGCGGCTATTATCGATGGAGGGGGGACAAGCGGCTGAGATTCGATATGCCCAAGACGTGGGTGGGAACATAGATGATTGGGGTGTGTTGCTCGCCGTGCACCGAGAAGACCGCGGATAGGAAAGTGAATCATTGGTTATGTTTCGGAGCAATTTCCTAGAATGTCTAGGCAGCAGCCTCGTTTGCAGATGGATGTCTTGATCATTGGTATAAGAGTTGTCGGATCAGCTTATGAGCTCAAGCTGTCATTGAATTTTAGGGCAGATTCACCGCTACCATATTGTTCTGGTCCTGCATATTTCACATCTTCACGTAGATAATTCACTATGACAATCGCAGTGGTGTATTCCGCTGAAACCACCATCAGCAACTTCTTCCTCAAAGCATCCGCAACTCGTACCGAATGCGAGGCTCGAGCAGCTGAGCTGACCGGTGGCAAGGCAATCCCGGTCACCATACAAGGTGACTGCAGTTACACGGTCTATGCTGGCCCTGAGCTCGAGGATGTTGTTCAGTTTCGACGAAAGTCGCTTGAGCTCAAGACAACGACTTCGGCCCTGGCAAGCAAGATCTACGGCACTCTTGCACCTACCGTCACCTTTAAGGGGCAAATTGGAGATGAGGCTCCAGAGAAAGAACCGTTGTACATCTATCTCATGAACCGGATCAAGGGCGTCTCTTACCTGGACTTTATTTTGGCGAGTAAAAATCATGAGAACTCTCTAGCTGCGTTTGCTGCCCGCAAAAATCTCATGACGGGTGTTGCCAAGTATGTACAACTGACAGTACTGTATAAGAGAGCATCGAAACTAATATAATCTAGGTTTCACGCTCTTTCGTGGAATACTCCTCAGGTCGTCGATCCTCAATACCGAGACGAACTGAAAGTCAGATATTCCTCAGATCTGGCACTCCTGCACAAGACTCTGCCAGAACGATTCCATCCCGCAATTCAATCCTGCAGAGACGCCATGGAGTCCATCATGTCTCTACCAATGGTCCTCTTACACAAGGACCTTGGTGCATCCAACATAATGGTTCACAAGGAATCATGCCACTTCGTTGGCGTTGTGGGCTGGGCCGAGGCCGAAATCTGTCCCTTTGGTTCAAATCTCCATTTCCTAGAGCAGCTGACAGGCAAACTCCACTATGAAAATGGGTGGTCTCGGTACGATGACTACGACGACTTGCAAGAAACGTTCTGGTCTGTCTTCCGGAAGGAGGTCGGGGGTTTGCCCGAGGAAACCTTGCAGACCATTAAGCTTGCGAGAATCATGGGGCTGCTTCTCGCCGAAGGGTTCACTGGCCGCCTGGAGTATGGCAACGGGCCTATGCCTATCCAGGATGACGAGGTTGGGCGGTATCAGATGTTGTCTCTTGATGGGTTTCTTCTCGATGAGGCCACCAAGTTTTACTGAAATCCGACACTAAATGGCTGGTTTCCTGTTTCTTTTCTCTCATTCCAGGTTCTATATTTTGTACCTCAAGTTAAATCTTCTTTCCAAATCGGTCGAGATAATATGTTACCTAATGAGAACAATTCTACCGCGGTTGTTTTCTGGAATCCAAAGGGCAGAACTAATGAAGCTTTAACAGCCTCGAAGTCTAACCTACACTCAAACAGAGAAGGTAGGTCAGTCTACCTTGCGATTGTCTAATGCCGAATCTTTTGTTTCTGGGTTTGAGAGAAATGGCAGATGTTGGGTGGAATGTATTGACAATATTATGGTGTAAACCAATGTATCTAATATAAAAGTACATAGCATGTATACATTGCAATGACGGTCGTAACATGATCCAGATTAATTATACTCCATCGACCTTCTTATTCCTTCGGACAATGTGGCCCTTGATGGCCTCCTTACCATCCATCCAGGGGCGCAGGCACTCGGGGATCGTGACAGTCATAGTCTCTTCATCCCACCCATTCTCCAAGATGGCAGCAATCACTCTGGGGACGGCAAGGGCAGTGCCATTGGCAGTGTAGGGGAAGCCCATCTTTCCGCTCTCGATACGAGTTCGGGTGGCGAGTCGTCGAGACTGGTAGTCCGTGCAGAGACTGGCGGATGTGACCTCGCCCCAGCCGCCCAACCTGGATACACGGCTAGGGAACCACGCCTCCATGTCAACCTTGCGGGTAGCAGAGGCGCCGAGGTCAGTTGCGGGCATGGACAGAATACGAGCGGGCAAGCCGAGGGACTGGATAATCTCGGTCTGCATATCGAGCATCTCCTCGAACACATCGGTGGCCAGGTCCTCATCAGGGGCCGTCCAGGCAAACATCTCGACCTTTGTAAACTCATGAACACGGTAGAGACCCTTGGTGTCGGCACCACGAGCACCAGCCTCGGCACGGTAGCAGCGAGACACGGCGACTCGCTTCATGGGGAGCTCGTCGGTTTGAATAGTGGACGCGGCCTTCATACCAGCGAGCGAGATCTCCGAAGTGCCCGTGAGACAGAGTTCAGGGACGTCCCTCTCCGCGTCGCTTTGGGCCTGGGCGATGGTGTAGACCTGCTGCTCGCCGTTTTGGTCTCTCGGCTGGAAGCCACAGGCGGCCCCGATGTGGCTATAGACAATGCTGGGAGGCGACACCTGAAGCCAGCCGTGGCGAGTCACCACGGCGAGGGCGTACTGGACCAACGCCTGTTCCAGCTGTGCTGCTTCACCTACAAGATAGTACCATCCCCAGCCAGAAGCAGTAGCTGCGGAAGCAAAGTCTAGTATGCCCAGGTCAGTGCCGATCTGGACGTGCGACGGGCCGTCCCTGATTGGTGTGGCAACGTCCAACTCGCCATCCTCGTGGGGTGAATAATTGATGTAGCTCAGCAGGGCCGGCTCCGTCCCCCTGGGAGTGTCGTCACTCGTCAGATTGGGAATTTCGAGGGCTAGCTCCTCGATTGTAGCCAGAATCTGCTCCTCCTGCTCGGAGATGCCTGCAAGCTCACTCTTGAGTTTCCGCGCCTCCTCCTGGATCTCCTCACGGGTCATCTTCTTGACGGCCTGGAGATCCTCATCGTTGTTGCTAGTAGCTGGATTGGCCATCTGCTTGCGCAACAGGTTGGACCTCTCACGATTGGTACGGCTGCTGCGCGTGAGGTTCTGCCACTGCTCGTGGAGCTCTACTATGCGCGAGGCGTTGCCCGCCTGGCGCTTGTAGTTGCGCTCCAGGCATGTGGTCTCGTACAGCTCTGGGTTCTGCCGGATGTGGCGGATGTCAATGATGGGCTTGGGGGCCGATGTAGGCCGCTTCGAAGCAGGTGTGGTGGTGGTGTTACTTGTGGCCTCCACCGCATATCCTCTCTTGAGGACGGATTGGACGTTGAGCTTGGCGCTGCGACAGCGCAGGCATTGGATAGCCGTCCTCCTCATGACGGTCGTGATGATGACGATACGCCTAGTAATGTGCGTGAGAGGCGGCCACGACCATGGCCCGGACCGGCTTTTTATCAGTGTTATACAACTGGGCAGCAGAGAGCTCATGGTAAAACGAGTGGATGGGAGACGTCTGCTTCAGGATTAATAGTGGGTGGAGCCGGAAAGCTTGATTGACCAGTGGATTAAGCCGAACTCGGCCTTAGCGGACTCGCCGTAACAGTCCTTTATTACAGTTACACACAGCTATATTACAGGGCTGTTAGTGGACGCTGCTATTATAACATATGTCTGAAGCTCAAGGTGGTCTCCTCATTCACATTCTGGAAGTGCAAGCAAGTGCTTGAACAGGGTATCTTGGACATATATACTCTCGCTCTAAATACAATATACCAATCTCAGACCGCCCCCCAAGCCCCCAGCGTCCAATTCATGTGATGTCCTCCGCTACCCCTGATCAGTCCTCCTGCCCCCATACTCTGTCGTTGCTGGGCCTTGAAGTCTACCTCGTTTGGCTTGGAGGCACCGAGAGAGCCTTGCTGCTGCCAGAGCTCGCGGTCGATGGTTGCCATGGCAGATATCTTCAGCTGACACATGAGGCTTGCTCCCGCCCATGGCCCCAACGAATGGAGCGCCCGAAGCTTTCCTTGAACCGGCTGGGAATGGTAGCGATACCGTTCGATTTTGGCCTCGACGGAATCGTACTCAGGTTCGGCATTTGCTGGGTTGATTGCTGGGTTGAGAATGAATTCAACCCGGCTAGCTAGATCAGATGGCGGGGAGGTCTCGCCAGGTGGGGAATCCTTTGCACCTCGCGCTTGAAGCTTCTGGTTGCGCTTCTCAGCCCCTTTACCGGACACAGGCTCCCATCCTCTTCGGTCGATCATGCTTGAGACTTCATCCACAATCCTTTCTTTCAACCCCAAGATGGCCGAACACCCGCCCGTGAAGATGATTCGGGACATACAAATGGCCCTCACATCTATGGGAAGCTGGAGAAGATGCTGGTACACTAGTAGGTGGACCGGAAGTTCATGGTCATCGAAGCTCGCTGCCGGAGCTGAGGGGTCAAGGAAAGCATCGTCGCATACGTTGCCCAGGCTCTCAAAGGCCACATCCACAGTTCGAGGGGGGACCGTTGAGTAGAACGGGACTTGGGTAGTGCCAGTGGACGGCGTGGCGTTGGTCGGTGTTTCCTCATCAGACTCGTCTTGTTCTTCCACCGTCTCTAGCTGAGCTGAATCCCTTTGAGAGAGCCTAGACGCAGAGGGCCGACACCACATCAGTCGGCACATGATGTCTTCGGCTTCTTCGAAACTGATAACACGGTCTGCATTGTCTTGCTGGGGCTCGTCAGTGACGAGGGGAAGCAGAAGCTTGCTATAGAGCTCATCCAACAGATGCCTCCCTCCACGAATAGTACGCGTAGTTTTGACTTCACGATACTCATACACACTAGTAATGACTGTCTCTGACCAGCCCATGTTGATAATGAGAGCTGAACGCGTTCCTGCCGCCACGGTAGACATCGTGGCTGAAGACAGCAAAGACACCATTGGCGTCTGAAATCTGTCAAATACCGTGTCAAGCACCGCCGAAACCAGGGGGACTGGTAAGTCGGAATCCAGCACCAGTGCCGTCCTCCTTGGCCTTGAATCAAGAAGAAGGTGCCTAGAAACAAAGGATATCAGCATAGGT